GGGTTTAAATTCAGAGGCACTCAACCACTGAGCCACATCCCCAGCCTTATTTTATATTTTATTTAGAGACAGGGTCTCACTGAGTTGCTTAGCACCTCGCCATTGCTGAGGCTGGCTTTGAACTTGCAATCCTCCTGGCTTCACCTCCTGAGCCACTGGGTTTACAGGATTCCTCATGCTCCCTCCAACTGTTCTCTGCCTGGAATACTTCTCACTCCACTCTCCAAGCCCACTTAACACTAATTGTCCTTTAGTTCTGAGCTGAAATGTAATTTACCAGAAGAACTTCCCAAACTCCCTGCTTTTGTTATATACCTTCAGGACATTACCATCTCCCCTGCAGAACACCTATCCCTGGTGCTTTGTATTTATTTTTGTGCCACTAATTGATTAATGTCAGTCCTACTAGACTGGAAACTCCATGAGGGCAAGAACGATCCCCATTTTTGCTCTTTGCTGTACAGTGCCTGGCACCCTGCATCTAGCAGAAGCTCAGCAAATAGTGATGAATGAAGGAATGAACCATCCCAACAAGTAAAAGGCACTTTGTGCTGAAAAAAGTGCTGTATGACCTAAGAAGAAGCTTTGCCCAGTTTCCTTAGGCAACTAGCATTCATTCATTCACAGATGATTCACTCACCATCTCTCAGGAAGAATTAAAGGTAGCTTCTTTCACGGGCCTCTCCTGCACAGGAACAAACACTCTCTGGGCTGTTTGTAAGGCAAGAGCGTGGACAGTGTGCCTCCAAGTCAGGGAGGCAGGATGGGCCCGACATCTTGGCAATCTGGCAGGCCCTAGGGGTAGAAGACAAGGAGTGGGAGGAAGGAAATAAACAAATTACGAGCCCCTCAAAGGGTGGCCAGGGCCATAGTCAATGGTACCCAAGTGATTGACCTCTGAGCATTTTAGCAAAGTGGGGCTGAGGAAACTGAATTTGGTTGGTTCCAAGTAATTGCTAATCGCAGAGAAAAACCCCTGTCTTAAAATCCCTGGCTGGGAAATGGACCCAAAGCATTTCCCCTTATTGATAAAATCTGCATCCTGTTCTCTGATTTGATTGACTTTACAGGTGGATGGTAATGGTTCTATGCCTTGGCTTCTTCATTCTCAATGAGGATGGGAAATTTTAGGTTCTTTAAGAGCCTCAGCAATGACAGAAATAGCAGTAGCAGCATGGTCCCTTCCCAAGACTTTCCATTGATCTTAAAAGAAAATGCAAACTATTAAGCATGGTCTTTAAGACCCTATGTGAGGCGACTGCTGCTTGTTTCTGTTGTCCCCCCCCCCTCCTGCCCCGCTGGTCAGTCATCTCTATTGGCTCCTGCCTCGTGGTCCTCCCCCACAGCCAACCCTCCTACCTGGAGTGCTCCTCACTCAGATCCACTCTTGGCTGCTCCTTCTTGACATCTGAGACTAGAGTCAATTTAGTCACCACCTCCTGACTCCCTCACCACCCTCACCCCATTGCTCAATCTCAGCACCTTGTTTTATCGCCTGGATAGCATGTCACACTATCTGAAATCATCTGATTTGTTTGCATAGTCATCAACTGTGTCCCCTACCTAGAATATACACTCCATGAGAGCAAAGCCTCACTTGTCCTGCTCACTCCTGAGTTCTCGGTGCCCAGAAAGGAGCTTGGTAGGCACTCCACAAACATTTCTCAAATAAAGGAATCATCATTGGAAGACCCTATTGGAAAAGAGCTACTGTACATTTTTTTGGTGGGGGAGTACTGGGGGATTGAACCCAGGGGTGCTTAACCACTGAGCCACATCCCCAGCCCTATTTGATATTTTATTTTGAGAGAGGGTCTTATTATGTTGCTGAGGCTGGCTTTGAACTCACAATCCTCCTGCCTCAGCGTCCTGAACCTCTGGTATATAGGCATGCACCACTGCACCCAGCGAAGAACTACTGTACTACTGTACGTATACTATTTTGTAGATGAAGGACTGGAGACTTGGTAACCTTGAGTGACTTGCCCAAGGTCATAGAGATAGTAGATTGGGAGAGGAGCTGAGTGAGACTGGAACCCAGGCCTGGCTGGCTCCAGGGCTTGTATTCTTAATCACTACACAAACAGATCCATTCTGCAGATGATGTCAGCCGCCCTCCCACCCACTACATGTGTGTGCATTCTTTGCAACAGGACCTGGCCCAAGAGCCAGGCAGTGAGGAGCCACTGAATGACGCCCGCAGAGTGTGAACCAGCACAGTCATTTTGGATAGCTCCTCAGAAGTTCCTACTAACAATAATCCTCAATATACATGCACAGATCTACAGATGGGCTCCACAAAAGCCACATACAGGAACACTCATAGAAACTGTAGTCTTTTTCTTTTTTTTTTTTTTTTCCTGTGCTGGGGATCAAAGCCAGGGCCTCTCCCATACTAATCAAGTACTCTACCATTGAGCTACAAGAAGCAGATTTTGTTGTTGTTGTTACTGGTTTTTCAGATTTTTTTGTTTGTGTGTTTTGGTACTGGGCTAGTACAGGGGTGTTTTACTGCTGAGCTACATTCTTAACCGGTTTTATTTTTATTTTGAGATAGGTTCTCACTAAGTTGCTTATGGCCTCACTAAATGACTGAGCTGGCCTTGAACCTGCAATCCTTCTGCCTCAGCTTCCTGAGTTGTTGGAATTACAAGCATGTGCCACTGTGCCGGGACCCAGCCTTTTTATTTTGAGACAGGGTCTTGTTAAGTTGCCCAGGCTGACCTCAAATTTGCAATCCTCCTGCCTCAGCCTCTTGAATAGCTGGGATTACAGGTGTGCACCACACCACCACACCTGGCTAGAAGGAGTATTCTTTTTTTTTTTTTTTTTTGATACCAGAGATTGAACTCAGGGGCACTCAACCACTGATCCACATCCCCAGCCTTATTTTGTATTTTATTTAAAGACAGGGTTTTGCTATTGCTGAGGCTGGCTTTGAATTTATGATCCTCCTCCGCCTCCTGAGCCACTGGTATTATGGGTGTGCACCACCAATCCCTGCAGAAGCAGTATTCTTAAAAAAAAAAAAGAAAAGAAAAAGAAACACAGAAAACAAGCTAAATGCCTAGCAATAGTAAAATGAATAGATACATTACAGTATATCATATAATGGCATATTAGCTAGCAATGAAAAAGACACTATGACTACATGAATAAAATGGACAAATCTCTTACATACAAAGTATACAGTCTATAATTCATTTAAAGAATGATCAAAAATAGGCTAAAATAATCTGCAGTGTTAAATCAAGATTGAGATTGCTCTTGTCAATGGAGGTGAGGGGTAGTTAGAGATGGGAAGGACATGAATGGGGCTTCTGAAATCTAGTGTGGGGGAGCAAAACCTGCTTCTCTCTACCTTTTTAGGTTCTTTGAATTTAAAACATGGGCTGGGGTTGTGGTTCAATGGCAGAGTGTTTGCCTCGCTCGCTCGTGTGAGGCACTAGGTTCGATCCCCAGCACCACATAAAAATAAATAAACAAAATAAAGATATTGTGTCCATGTATAACTAAAATTTTTTTTTTTTAAATTTTAAACATGACACAGAGAAACTTAATTACATGCATATACACAAGGGTCCCACAAAATGAGACTGGAAGATAGTCCAGTGATTGAAGTTTACAGAGCATCCTAAGCTATTCAAAGGAATGGGGCAGGGACCTGGTGAACAAAGGCTGTGCTGTTATGCAGATAAAGTTTTGGGCAATAAAAGTTGCCTGGAGCAGCCCCCTTCCCCACACAGATTCTTTTACTAATGTAGATTTCCTTCCTAGATGCAAAGTTCCCATACAAAAGGACAGCTTTCCCCAGCTACTCCTGTGTCAACAGTTTCTCTGAATAACCAGCTTAAAATGTGCCAAAGAAGTATATTTGGGGTGTTCAGTTTGGTCTCCGGTGTCATATTTTGGGGTGCTGTGTCCTGAGTCCAAACACTGGAAACATTCTGTTTCCTGATGAGGACACTGGTTACACCGTTCTGTTCACTTTGTAAAATTCTCCGAGCAGTATGTTTTTGATTTGTGCACTTCTCTGAATGTACTTATTTTGAATCACATGAATTTGACGTTTTTGTATGTGGTTGCACTCAGTATGGTGGTACAAGCCTGTGATCCCAGCTGCTCAGGAGGCAGAGGTAAGAGGATCCCAAGTTCAAGGCCAGCCTCATAACTTAGCCAGACCCTATCTCAAAATTTGAAATTAAAAGGGCCAGGGCTGGGGTTGTGGCTCAGTGGTCGAACGCTTGCCTAGCACATGTGAGACACTGGGTTCAATCCTCAACACCACATTAAAAAAATAAGTAAATAAAATAAATTTTTAAAAAATGTAGGGCCAGGGATGTAGCTCAGTGGTAAAGCACCCCTGGGTCAATTCCTAGTACCCTTTCCTCTCATCCAAAAAAAAAGCGGTTTTGAGAAAAACAGGCTCTGCCTTCTCAGACTCCTTGGCAGGTATCAATTAGGCTACAGATGACCCCGACAATGGACCCCAACATCGAGGTGGAAGTCCACTGGAAAGTCCAGAGGGCCTGAGGCTTGTTTCTGGAACACTCCAGTAAGCCTGCCCGGGATCTCTGCACTCCTTATGCATTTACCAAGCTTCTCCTCCTAAGCCTCCAAACCGCTTAGAGAGGCTCTCCCTGGTCTCACGAGAGGGGCCATCTCCTTCCCCTAATCTTGGTCACATCACTTCATTATTTCCTTTGGGGATTTGGCCAATATCTGAAATTGGTATTATTCAAGTGTTTTCTTTTTACTGTCTGCTCATTTCGTTAGACTGAGCTGTGTAAGAGCAGGGGATTTCTCTACCTTACCCAACATTGTATCTACAGATCTGGCATCCTGCCTGGTACCTAGAATGTGCTTAAATATTGGTTGAATGAAGGACCACATGAAGCAGCAGGAATAGAAGTGTGTAGACAGGTGGCCCAAAGCACAACTGTCAAGTCAGAAAGAAGGGCCAGCATCCCTCCCTTCTTTGGAGAGTGAAAGTCTCTCAGGCTTCCAGAAAGAAAGTCACAGACCCCTCCAGCGTCCAGACAGGCAGTTCTTACCACTGTTCCTCCTGAGGGTCCCATTCTGTTACATAAAGGGAAGACAGTTACGGGGTGTTCACTGAACCACCCAATGGAGTTAGAATCATCCTGCCCATCATAGCGATTAGACTGGGGCTCTAAATGATCAGTAACTCATCTCAGATCTCTCAACAATTAAGTGGTAGTACCCTGGGCAAAGTCTGTCTATGGAGGTTCCAAAGCCAGAGTTCATCACCCATTGCATCATCGGAAGTGTTCAAGGTTACTAGAGAATTTCTGTGAAAGCCACCGCTCACAGCTGGGTTTTGATTTTTTGTTTTTGAATTCTCTTCTTCTTTTGGTGCCTGAGATCAAACCAAGGCCTTGTGCATGAGACCAGCACTCTACCATGAAGCTAAACCCTCCAGTCCTTAACTTTTTTTTTTTTTTGGTACTGGGGATTGAACCAGGGGTGTTTTACCACTGAGCTATATCCCCAGCCCTTTTAATTTTTTATTTTGAGACAGGGTCTCCCTAACTTGCTCAGGGCCTCTCTAAATTGCTGAGGCTGGCCTTGAATTTGCAATCCTCCAGTCTTAGCCTCTGAGTCCCTGGGGTTACAGGTGTGCCCCACAGCACCCTGCTTTCTTGTTTACTGTTCACATTTCTACTTAGCTCTGGATTGAGCTCCCACATCTGAAACGGATAGTGTGCTTATATTTTACATGAGTTTGAACTAATGCATATTTGAACTTGCCATAAAAACATGTTTATAAAAAT